TAAAGCACTGTTTTAAAATTACATATTCCAGTTAGCCTTTTAAAATTATGTCTCTAGTTCACATTACATACGGATAAAATATTTTCTCTCTCATACGTAAATACCCACCCTGATCTTCAACAAAACAATATATTCCTGAAAACCTCAACAGGACATGGTTACCAAACAAGTTTTATAAGCCAGCATGTCTGGCATACATGCCCAGATTTAATCTGTTCCTCCACTAGATGGGAATCAGACTTTGGCAAGATTAAAAGCTGAGTGTGCCTTGTGGTGTTTGCCATGATGAGCGCAAGAAATCACCACCAGCAGAAAACTGTCAAATGAGGAGCTTAAAGCAGTGAAAACTAAAATACACATGCTTGTTAAGCAATGTCAAAAGAGCAGATAACTAAAATTTTAAGTAGCCAAATTATAATATAATGGAATGTCATCTGTAATATAAAATCATGCTATAATCTGAATTAGTAGGGAATATTTTCTTAATTATCTTTATAAGTAGCAGGAGTAAATTTCTTTATGGAAAGATACATCTTATCTTGTTCTAAAACACATGAATAATTTACCTTTTTCAGCATATGGCCAAGATTAGAAGTGTACTTGAGAAACTAATAGATTCTTATGAATAACAAATATAACCCGCCATCTTGTCTTCATTAGAATTCTAACAAATGTTATATACTTCTATCTCTAGTTTAAAGGATGAAAGAACTGAGCCAAAAGTATTTAAATGACTTGCTTGTAGTCACACTCTAAACAAGGCTACCCATTTCCTTTCTTCTTTTACCTCCTGTTTTTCCTCCTTGTTTGCTCCTTCTCAGTTACTTTCAAAACCCCTCTTCTTCCACCAGTCCCTTAAATGCCAATTTCCGCAGGGTCTATCTTTGGTTCTCTTTCCTCAGTCTACATAATCTCATTAGATAATTCCTACCACATTCATAGTTTCAATTACCACAATACTCCATGACTCTCAAACTTAAATCTCCATCTGAGCCCATACTCCAAAGAACAGATCTGCATATCCCACTGCTTACTAAAAATTTCAGTGTGAATGTCCTGTGGGTATGGAGTCCACATCCAAAAGTGGATTCCTGCTCCACTTCCCACATTTTCTATCTTAAGAAATGTACCATCATCCACTCACTCATTCACTTGAAACGGAAACCTGGGAATTCCTCTACTCATCCAAAAGTGGATTCCTGCTCCACTTCCCACATTTTCTATCTTAAGAAATGTACCATCATCTACTCACTCATTCACTTGAAATGGAAACCTGGGAATTCCTCTACTTAACGGAAACCTGGGAATTCCTCTACTCCCCAAATCTACCACATTCAGTCACTAAATTCTAATGATTATACATCTCGAATCTCTTCCATTCTTTCTTCAGGAAAACTGATTATCCTCTTTTTTGCTTTAATCTTCGCGTTACTTCTGAGATCTACTCCCCCTTTCTTTCCTCCATCTTTTCTCCCTTTGGCTCACAGTCCCCTTCTCCATCTCAGGCTCCACTGATTCCTCCCTCACCCAGCCTCACCGTTCTAAGCCCTCCAGTCTCATGAGTCTCCTCTCCATTCAGCTTCAGGCATATAATAACATGACCATGCTTTAGACTTTGTCATCACTCAGAACTGTACCAGCTTCCAGACCTTCAACTCCGAAATTCTCTTCTAACTGCAATCTTCATTCCAACCAAATTACTTTTGGTCCTTATTGTGGTCTTTAATCCTTCAGCTTCTACCTAGTCTCATAATCTAGTAGTCTCCTTACTTCCATAATCTTCATCCTATGATATGGTTCAGACATCTCAATGATCCTGTCACTAGTACTGAAGATTTTTCCATGCCCCATCATTTCTTTTTTCTTGCTTGAACTACTAAGCATAATACTAAAAATAACAAAATAAACTAAGAAAGTACGTAATTTCCAAGTTTTTTAATGAGTATGGATTACTTTCATAACTAAAATAATAATGCAGCATGGTTTCTTTTGGTGGCTGGCTGGTATGGAGACCCAAACCCATGATCTTGGTACTATAAGGCTGTGCTCTAAGCAACTGAGCTAACTGGCCAGCCCTCATAACTAAAATAATAATGATAATGATAACAGAAAAAAGATTTAAAAGTAATGATTAAGAAAATAAAACTCTAGGCATTGATGTAAGCTATTTGTATCTAAGAAGTTATTACTATATAAGTTTCTAAGCACATGTAGAAAATACTATCTAAATCTTCAGAAATAAATGAAGATGTTTATGTGACT